TTCTGCAGCCCAGTCAGAGACACCAGAGCCTCCAACCCGTGATCTGTGATGTCTGCACAGAAGCTCACGTTCACTTGGCGTAATGCTGTCAAGCCGGAAATCAGATCCATTGCATCATCAGTGACAATTCCACAGCCAGCCAAGCTGATATGGCGCAGGGATTTCATGCCCGTCAAATTTTCCAAGCCTGCATCTGTTATCCCATCACAACCCCCCAAGTCAAGAAAACACAGTGCAGTCAGATCCACCAGCCAACGCATCCCCTCATCAGTGACACCAGCACACTTACCCAAGTCCAAGTGCTGCAGGGCTGTCAGTTTCGCCAATGAGCTCAAGCCCCTGCTTGTGATTCTACGACACCTGTTGATGTCCACATATCGCAGCTGCAGCAGATGTGACAACACATCCAAGTCTCCGTTTGTGAGACCATCATTGTCCCTCAATCCCAGACGTTGCAAAGCAGTCAGAACAGACAGAGATTTGAAGCCTTGGTTGTAGGTCTTCACACATCCGTTCAGGTCAAGATGCTGCAGTGTCAAAATCTTGCCGATTGCCATCCACCCCTCCAGTGTGAATTTTGTGTTCAAGTTGAGAGTGAGTTTATGTAAGGATGTCATGCCTGCCAAGCTTCCCAACCCCCGATCTGTTATCTGATAACAGCCATCCAAGCAGAGCATGCGCAAGCCTGTCAGCTCTGCCAGATTTTGCACCCCTTCGTCAGTGATTTCACCAACACCGCATATTGCAAGACATTGCAATGAAGCACAACGAGCCAATGCTCCCAGCACTTCGTCGCTTACCCATGAGCACCAGCTGATATTAAGTGCCTGCAAAGAACCTAGTGCTATCAAACCCTGGATGCCATTCTTTGTCACATGCATGCACTTTGATAAGTCGATGGAGCGAATCGAAGAGTTTTTGCCAAGAGCTACCATCGCTTCGTCGTCCACTCCAAGGCACTCAGACACTTTCAACATTGCCACATTCACAAAATGTTTGTCCATCGCTTCAACCACATCCCTCAACTGCACATCCATGGGTTGCAATCGGCCAACACTTTGTGACGCCCATCTGGACCAGTGCGTGTTGATCAAATGGGCAGTCTTTGGAAACCAGGACGTTTCCACGATTCCTTCTTGCATGCCTGCCCACTCATCTTCCCCTAGGGACGTTGCTTGCTTTGCATTTTCCTCAGAGAGTTGCATGATTCTGTCCAGCACCAGTGGCGACAGCTGCGCCCAGCCCTGCAAACAGAGATTCAGCAATTTTAGGAATTGGATCAATTGATCTCTGCATCACCTGATTTCCATCCAATTTCTTGGAGTTGACAATGAACTGCCTTGCAGACTCCAGGGCGATGATGGCAAAAAATCACAACCCGCAGTTGTGCGTCAAGTATGGTTGACATGGTATCATATTGTTGATATCCAAAAGGATAGCCAAAACCAAACCAACCCAGTCAGACACGTCTTACAAGCGGCACTGGTCAAGCAGACAGGGATGATTGCATTGAAGGGCGAATGCTGATGTGCACACACAGCGAGGAGAGCCTTTGGAAGGAGATGGTATCTTATCAACCCGTTGCACAATGCTGGCACCATTTCCACGGCCACTGTTTGCCAACAAGCAGTTGCGATCTCCCGATTCAGGAAAATCACCATTGGAGAGACGTCCCAAAGCAATCAGCCCGTTCTGGGTATGGATCTCTCTCTGCACCTGTGGGAACGATATCAATTGGTGGACGAATTGGTCTGCCCACGTTAGGTCTCTGTAAGTTTAGGACAGGAAATATACACATTGTTTCCACAACCATGTTCGTTCGAGCGGTGCACATGCATACATTTGCTCCGCAGCGTACCCAATCGGGCATATTTGCAAACTTGCTGCAGCCGCTGGGAACCACCACAAACGCGCGACGGAAGCACTGGAAAGTAGCAAGGCCCGCAGGTGCCGCCCCAGAAGACCGGAAAAAGAATTGCTTTCACCTCCCCCGCCAAACACAGCTTTTGGCCGTGCTTGCGAAGGGGCGCACGTGACATCTGCGCCCATGCAAAGTCCAAACGCGCAGGCGAGGCGCATCCACGCACCCCAGCACTGCTGCCGCGATCTCTGCTGGACGCAGCCATCTTGGAAGGTCACCGGTTCCCCAGCGACCACCACCCTCGGCACTTTCGGGCACTCGCGACGCGCCACTCGCGACGCGCCAGCTGCGCAAGGGCTTTGTGCGACTGAAATCGGCTGCCGTCGCCGCGCGCCGTTCGCCAGCCGGAATCGATGTTAACCTGGCGTCGAGCTGGAGGGGGCGCAGGCGAGGGGTCGGGTTCAGCGGGGCCGTGCCTGGTGGCACGGGGCGTGTCGATCAGATTTGGCATTTAGGGCAGAAGGGCCGGGTCAAGTGCGTGTGTGCTTGGACAACATTGGGCATGGACGTGACCAGTGGTCACCATTTTGTTGGTGGGTTTCTGCCGTGGGTTTTGGGTGGGCCAGTGGTTTTGAATTGGCAGCCAAATTCGCATGGCCATTTCAGACCCTGCCCTTGGTTTCGGCACTGCGATCCAACTCAATGTATTTGTCTGAACGACGCTGAATCCATGATCTTGTCAATCCGAACAACAGGGGTCATATGGAAGCATTGCAACTCCCCTCACCACTCCCTGAGCCCCCAAAGGGACACTATGGCTTTGGCAATCTTCCGCACAGGGCACATGGCAGTAAGATGGATCTGACTGTGTTGCTCTCCATGCCCACGCAGATTCTCGTGCCGCTCTTGGCCCCTCCAAAAGCGATGCCTCCTAGACATAATTGGTGACGTTGGTTGAGAAAATTGCTAAAAGGTAAACGCTTTAATGACCTATGAACCTCAAGACGCCAAAATACCCAATAACACATGGTTATGATCGATGCAATCTCAACTTTGAGATGGAAATTGGCAAAACGACAATTGGCGAGCCACCACTTGTAGTACCCAAAACTCTCCCTATGGGGGCTTCAAAAAGGACCCCCTGTATTGCTGATGGGCCACCAGTGCATGTCAATCTGTGCTAAAGAGCAATGCCCTTACAACCAAACAGAGTACAAATCCAGGGCACGGTATCAAGTTTCGTACTCATGTTATCAAAAATAACATCAAGTAGTCCCTCAATAAAACTTGTTCATAATTTCTCCAATGGGTGCTAGAAATGCCTGTCCTCCTCACAGTAATAATCCATCTGGACGCTCCGCAGGTCAGCAAAAACCTTCAACGCCTGGTCTCTGTAAATGAAATCTATCACCAACGATCATTAATACTGTCAAAGATAACAGTAGTACCAACCCTTCAAATATGAATTTCATGCACCCACACAAATAAAGCGCTGTCCATATTTTCCTGACCGGCCAAATCTGAGTCGGTCCCAGTCAGCTGTCGTATATCAGTCACGAGCCCGTTCATTGTGGTGACACAGCACAGTGACTAACAGCGAGTTTAAAATAGCTCATGGCTTGCTGCAAACCTCCCTCAAAACTTTCCATCTTCGAGGAAGCCCCTAGAATTGACCATCGATTAATTCTAAAACTTGACTAGTTTTAGGCTTTGGGGCTGGCTGCTTTCATCGCCTATTATGGTTTTGGCATCGTATTTTTCAAATCACTGCAATCGCCACAATTTCAGACGTTTTTCTTCCCTTAAAACTATTACGAAGTTGTGTGCCATTGTTAGGCAATGTCACTGAATCATCCCGGAATCGAAATAAGGATCGACACTAAGGGAGGGGGAGGGGGGTCTGAGCTTAACGTCACATTGAAACCAAACGTGCCAAATTCAAAATAGTGTCCTCCCTAAGTTTTGTAACGAGAGAAAGAAACAGGTCGTACAAAGGGCACCCCCTGCCAAGCAAATGTATGCAAAGCTCTTTTCCATGCTGTGAAAGGATGATATAGAGCCTCCTCTTGGGTGGCCAGTGGCGCAAATTCGCACGGGCCATTTCTGGCGCTACACCTTGGTTTCGGTATTGCCTAGTGTTTCTGGCCAGCTACCGCCTTGGTGCCAATTTCCAGGTTTGCCGCGACTGGAGTATGCCAGGCTCGGGTGTGTGTGTCTGTGTGTGTGGAGGCTGGCGGGTTCCTTCCCTCTGTTCCGCACTCTGTCTTGTTCGGCATATGCCTTGCCAGCCCAGAGAGAGTGAAGTTCGGTCACATGTGGGAGGCGGTGAGGGAGTGAAGTGGGGGATAAGGGGGACTGACACAGGGATGAGTCACGCATAAGTAACTCGTGGCAAAGTGAAAGGGAACAATTAAGTGGGAACCCTCAGGTTGCGCATGGTAATTGGCACCGCATGTGTTTGGAAATGTAAAATCTATCATACGCGAGCATGCAGATGATTCAAGCAGACCGACAAGGCTCGGCTGTAGCCACACCAGGGCTCTGTATCATATGGTTCCCTGCCTCCATCTGCGATCAAGCACAGTGTGTCTATCTAAATCCGTGAACTTTTCAATCCCTCCAACAACAGCCATGTGCATGCATTCCAACTTCCAGCACCATCTCCAGAACCCCCAACGGACATACCGGCTTTGATGCTGTCCCATACACAAGGACACAAGACAGCAACATGCCCTTTCACAATGGGCCCTGCTGCATTCCACACCTCTCGCATCGAAGGAATTTCACCTTCTGCTGTGGAATGTGACAGAGTAACGATCCATATTCCACCATGAGTTTGCCCAATTTGGGTTACATTTGCTCTGAGAGCACGACAGTGCCCATGCATCTGGACCACAATGGCGATGGCGGGCACTTCAGAATGGGCCCACCGAATGATAAGTCTGCAACAATCTTGACACACAAAACGCTCGATCGACCTTGTGCTTCACCAACCAACGCCAGGTCAATGTCATGCAAGGTTTTCAAAGGTTATCTCATGCACCACTCTCGTACGCGGCAGATGCTGAGAAGGACCCAGGATCACACCAGCATCTGAACTGCGTCACCTCGGACGCCCCCTCTGCCCATCCCGCTCACATCACTCAGAGCCCTCACTTTCCGTCACTCCTGCCAACTGTGCCTTCTCAAGGCCCTGATCAGGGTCTTCCTGGCTACTGTCAGCAGGGGGCTGGTATTGTCTCCTGTCGTTTCTTTGTTGGCGGCCCTTGCCATTGCGGGATCCGAACCTTGGGGCCTACACACAACGTCTCAGTCCTCAACCCAAAGACGCAAAAATGGAAGAGGTAAACACACGCATCCTTCGGGCTAATGACCACCCTTTCCAATATCCACGATAAGCACACTGCAGGAAAACAGCCTGACTGTGATGAAGTGTTTGGTTCCCACACTGAAACATTTCAGGCAAAATTCCCAGCTGCCCTGTGGTCTGCTGACCAGACGCTGGCATCTGAACACACACATGTGTAAACATGATTGACTTGATACGATGTCGACAGACAGAAATATACCAAGTTAGCACATTTATGAGTAGGCATCTACACAGAGTACCATATTCCACACAAGCACAGCAGCGGTGCCACAGCATCTGAGTCAGGGTTGTGCACCCCTGGTGGTGCCCAAGGTTCCTGTGACTGGGGCAAACAGCTTGGAATGGGTTAAAAACACAAGTCACAAGCAAGTGGCACAAAGGTGGACTTGCCATCGAAAAGTAACAGATATCATCAATACTCCGCTATGTCTGCCGCCAACTGAGACTTCCGGAATTCTGGTTTCTCCCCATCGCCTCTTGAGGTTTTCTCCACAAAGCAACCGCGATCAACTCACAAAGTTCTGGATATCGGCTTTTAGCTGGCCTTTAAGATTCTTGCCAGCACAAGATCCACAGAACCACTTAACTGCTGCATTTCTTGGAGCAAAATTAGCAGGTCTGCATTTTAGGTAAGGCAACAGCTCGAAATGAATCCATTCAAAATGCAACTTCCTTCGCACTTTGGTCTGACAGAGTACCAACGCATTTCATGACAGACTGCTCAACAAGCAACCGACCTCGGCTTCAGCAATCATTGGTGTAATTGCAACACAATGCATCCAGTTTGTGAGAATGCTTGCCAAGATCAGTATGACTTCCTGGACAGCAACAGCTCTACAAACATTGCCATCGCAACTGCCCACCTCCGCAAAAATGTCATCTTCTGGGTTGTCAAAAAGGTCTGCAAAAGGAGGCACACTCGAGCCTAGATTCCCAGAGGCCTTTGCAAACGTTGGTATGTACTTTATCCTGCACACATGCAACTTATGTTTCAAGTTCCAAACCACAGTAGCTGGTTTTCCTATTTTCAGCACCACCTTGAATACCAAAGCAGCCACAAAAGGGGGGTGGGTGGGTGGATGGGGGAAAGGGCAGGTCAGACTCAGTGCAGAACAGCATGCATCGATTTTCAAAGCAGTGGCATGCATGAGAGCTTTCCTGCCCCCTCCTCTTGCACACACACAGCACCCAAATTGTCCACAACACATCATTTCTGAGCAATGCTGGCAGGTCATGGCTTGTATCACAAGTTTATGTGGCCAGAGATCCACCAGCCAAGCACATATCTGGTAGTCAGTACTGTGCTTATCAGCTCTGGTCTCTGCATCTCTCACTGCAGGCATCCTCTTGAATTCTTTTCTTGGATTAAGATAATGAACATCAAGGAACAATGCGCATCGGAACTGGACATGTGCTGAATTCCTTCGATTGTCCATCCAACTGCAGGACAAGCACAACGCCTAGTGGACATGCTTGGCATTCCGTCAAATGCCACACTGCCCAGCCCTGGCAGATAGCCTCAAAATGAATGAATTGAATCATCACTGGAATAGCCAAACTGATCAATTAAAAAATGTCCGATTAATCGTTTGATCATCACTAACGAACACCAACGAACAGCACTGACCACAATTTGTCCACACTGACCTCTTTTTCAGCGGTTTCTCCTTCCTTTTCCGCTTGATCCTGTCCTGCTTGCATTCAAAACGCTGGCGCCTCCTCACCTGTGAATCCGCACACAATGTCCTCCAGTCCCTCATGTCCCCACAATGGTCATTGATATCAGAATATAGAAAGGCTGGCGCATTTACAACTGTTGGAGTCAGGACAATAAACTGCTGCTACACCATGCTATGCAAAAGAACAGCCCACCAATACAATTTGGCTTGTGCACCAATTTCGATATAACTAGCTTTGGACGAAGCATTGCCTTCTGCATAGACGCCGCACATAAGCTATAGTGCTACCTAAATACCCCAAACCATCAGAACAGGATCTGGACCATCCTGACAAGACCTCGGCACCCAGCTGTTTGTCCATTCGTTCCCAGGGTGCTGCATTTGTGCACAGCAAGCTTTCTGCACTGGTTCCCACCTCGAAATACATTCCTGTCCGTCGAACTGCTGAAGAGAACTTCTTGAACGTCACTTCAGTGGGCTCTGACTCTGCAGGTATCACCTGGCATGGGGAGGACGGAATGACTAAGTGCATTGAGAAGACGACACACACAAGTCATGGCACATGTCTCTACTGAGCTCAGAGGATCTAATTCCTGTTTCAAGAACTGCCACTGCCAACAGTTTGGGTACATGAATTTGTCAACATTTCAGCAACGTGCAACCCAGTTCTCAATTCCATAAGAGCTGGCAAGGAAGGAGATGGGAAATCGATTTTCCCCACATTTGCCAACAATCCTGCAAAGTGTCGCCCTCCCATCTGGGAGACGATGACGGGCACACTTCCATCTCAAACCCAGTTTATTGGGAGCATGTTTGCCAAATTCCTTGGCGAAAGACAATCCACGAATCAAAATAGTACACAAAACAAACACAAGCCTCCTGTGAGAGGGTGCACGGCGATAGGCCGACACCAACCAGCGCATCCACATCACTCAAAATCACGCAACACAAAGCAGCACAAACCGCAATCAACCCCACACTCGCGCTCCCAGCATGACCGGCTGTGTCCTTCGCCCAGCGCGGAGCCAATGGGGCATCGAACGCCGCGCAACTTCGCCGTAACCAGAGCGTCACTACGCGGCCAGCGATCGCCACCGACCCGCGAGGCTCCCGAACGCACACCCAAGAGGCCATTCGCGCCCCCCGTTACCTCTTGCGTTGCTTGCGTTGTGTGCCCCTCATTTTGCATCGGAGGCTCCATATCATCTTTATAAGAGCATGGAAAGGAGTTTCGCATACACTTGCTTAGGAGGGGGCCCCTTTGTATGGCCCGTTTCTTTCTCTCTTGGTAACAAATCTTACCCCTGCCCACCCACCCCCTTTACGCCAACCCTCGTTCGCCAGCCCGAGCAGCATCGCCCCCAAATCGCGATTCACCGCATCCCCTGAGCTGCGCCCCACCTCCACCAGGCACGTCCGCGACTTCATCGCCGCCTTGCTGGCCGTATCGTTCCCCACGAAGCGCCCCTGCGCCTGCCCGCCCCTCTGGCACGCCGAACCCACCGTTGGGCGGCCCCACAGCCCATTCACGAGCTGCGCGGACATCGCTGCGCCAAAAGATCGGCCGCGAACGCCGAACGGAGGAAGCTCAAGGCGCCGTGGCCGGCGCGCTGCGCTGAAGGGTTGGCGTTCCGGTGCGACCACCGCAGTACCCGCCCCTCACTACCCAATGCGGCAAAGGGACCGGGGCGGCTTTGGGGCCTGTGGCTGAGATCGGGCGCCACCAAGTATGGCGTGTAGGGTGCCCGTGCGGTGTTGCCACGGCAGGGTTCATCCCAATTTGTGGGTTTGATTGGGGTCAATTTGGCGTTCCCGCCAGGAAGAGGCGAGGGACTGGACGCGCGGGGAGGTGGACGGCGGTGTTGCGATGTCGCTGGACAGGAGCCCCCATTCGCTGTGCGTCCTGGTCACCAGGCACTTCAAGGCCATCCGCGCCGCTATCCACAAGCTGCTCGTCTGGAAGGTGAGCCGCAAATCGCCCGTGGCTGGAGTATTTATGTGCGCGGCATACAAAGCTCTTGGGTGGGTGCGTGCCCGTCATCGCCTTACATGGTGCAAAGGCACAGTTTTGTCTGGTCGAAGCCAATTTCAAACAATAAACAGAGGATGGAAGCCTGTGGCTGGAGCCGGGCCGCAGCCTGTTTTGTCACAGCCTTGGCGCTGTTTTCAACAAAGTGCGAAAGGCAGAAGCAAAGAAACTTTTGAGCATTTTGAAATATGAGCTCTTGGGGACAAAATTACCCATAAGTAAGCATGGAGATGCGCACGTGGGGGCATTTTTCGCATGGCTATCAAGGTACACACCTGCACGAAACTTTAGAATCCTCGAGATTGGCAGCAACAAAAGTATCTTTCTTGTTGGCATTCTAGCGCCAATGTTGGCCTTACCTTGTCGACACGCGCGGTCTGGAAATTTTGCGAGGAGCGCTGCGTTCGCTACAACCCCGTCGGCTGATCTCACACTTTGCGCCTTGATCAGGATAAAGTGATCACATTCTCTGGACCCACATCTGGACTGTCGTTCCCCTTCCTGACGGTTCTGGGAGTGCTGGCAAGCGAGCTGCATCTCAAGTGCGCCGCCTCAACTGCCTTAGGCCTGAAATTTTGCATTCATTGGGATGCACTCCTTATTCGTTACATAAAGGCATCCATGGCAAATTGCTGTGCTCATGCGTACCGGAAGATTTAAGCCGTTCTTCCAATGAAAGCGTGTCTGCAATCGCATTGGCTTCGTCCCCGTTCGTCGCCAAACGGCCTTAAGTACAACGCGTGACGCTCACCTAGGAAAGCGGCACGGTTTCCCCTGGGCCGTTCTGGCGACGCGCTACGAACGATTTCTTCCCCGTGGAGAGGGCAGAAACGTCGAATGTAGTTTCGATGTGTTCCATGAATAATGCAAAATTCGATTCATTTAGTAGTTTTATTGTTGCCGTTATATTTATGCTGCTGCATTTGCCGCAGAGTTTCTGACATAATGATTCGGTGAAATGTGTTCCCAACGTGTTGGAAAATCGAGAAGCTCCGCAAATTTTCTAGAGGCGCCTTTGCTAAGGGCGAAAACAAGTTTCTGATGGTGAAAACCAACTTCTTTCTTGTTCCTAAAATATCAGACATTTGCGCATAATGCACCTATTGTCGCTCATAGTGCATATAGCATCGCTATTAGCTTACTAAGCTAACGGAGATGTCGCAATTCTGAAAGCGTTGTAGACGAATATGGCTTGAGCCCTTTGCCTGCGCCAGTGGAAGCCACAGAACCCAGCTCTTCACATGGAGACATATTGCCGAGTCTGGCATTCAGTTAATGCTGGCGCTTGCATACTATGCTTACTATTCGATTCAATAATGTTTGAAATTGTTTTTTCTGTCTCTGTGGTGGCAGCCAACTCCATGCTGCGGGGCCACTTGACCAATTGTACCGCCAGCTGGGGGGATCCGGATTGGACGATGAAGAGGGTTCTGGACAATTTGTAGTGAGACCTCGAAGGGACCTAGACTTGCGACATCCGATAGTCAATAATTCGCCCATCGCCAGATCGGACCTTAAATGCGAACATGGGATTCACTTTTGTGTTGGTTGTGTTGCATGCAGCAAACAGGAGCCAAACAGGGTGATTGGGACAATGTGTTTTTGGTTCAATCCTTATCATCACAGCGAAATCACCCCTCCTGAATAACACACATCCGCCCTGGCACTTCTGGCACCCTTGGAAAGCTGCAATGGGCGATTTCTGTGGCAACTGGTGCTTTGGCCATTCGAATGGGCAAAATCCCATGGCAAAAGAAGTTGCTCGTTGCAGATAGAAGCATTTGGCCGATTAAAGCTGCAGGCTTGGTTTTTGCGTTCATGTCTACGGTTTCGCTCTTACATTTTTACGCGCAAAAGCGTAAATTTTTGAAACAAGCCACTTTTAGGGCCATTTTTACGGCTCGTTGGGGCACCCAGGTTGCACGATGAAAGTCACGTACAATGATCAGTCCTCCGCCATCTCCAGCACCCGCAACACTGTGTCCACCTCCCCCACGGCAAGGGCAGCCACGGCATGGAACAAAAGTTCGTTCGTACCCATTCCAGTGCCACACACCGGACTCCCCAAGTCTATATGCACTGTATTTATGTACGCAGGGGTGTATTTTCGTTGCATTTATGTATCGTTGCATTTGTTTACGCGTTTTACGAGCAATAACGTAAAAACTGTTTTTGCGCATTAAAGATAACACGATTTGTGTTTACGGCCTAAATACCAAGCCTTCAGAGCTGTGTCCGCATCGCCTGTTACCCTGTCAACCTGGAATCACCAATCGTGTCCTCGGAACCCCTTTTGTTCTCGAGTGAGCTGCGCCTGTCCGGTGGCAGCGACCGAGTCACAATTGGATGATGGTCGCCGCGAGGACGAAGATGCGCATGAGGGGTTCGCAGCAGATCCACTTTCGCGCGAGACTGGCCAAAAAGCTGGCGAGCTGCGAAGACCAGATCGAAGTGCTGTCCAGCGCGTGCGACAGACACGAATGTAAAATAGACGTCCTGGCGGAGGTGCGTGTTGGACGCTGTTCCTGGTCCTTGAATGATACAACATTTTACACAATTTTCAACTGCGTTACATGGTTCTCAGTGGTTGCCAATTGGCAACCATATTCAATTGCAATTGACCGCCCAAGGGTACACGATTGTTACACGATTGTTTTACACGCATGACATGGTACATGATTTTTAGGGGCGTGTACTTTGGCCGAACTTTTACTAATTTTGTTTGCTGAAATACTGAGCCCTTATAACAGTAGTTGAGAGATTCAACGATCGATGATGATTCCATTGTTTGATGAGAATCTGATCAGATGCTGAATGCGCACTTTGCCCGATCTGAAGAACGGCTGTCTGAGCGCGGCAGTGCACCCCTCCAGGCGAAAGGGGTGACATATTCTGAATTCTCTCAATTCTGTATCACTGACGAAGGCAGGCAGGGTCGAGGGGTGGCGAGCCCTGAACGGGAATCGTACGCTCAAGTCCACGGCAACGGTTTACAGCCGAGGCAAAAGGACAACAGACGCTCTGTCCTTTATACCCAGTCCGTTCATCAACATCCTTAATGTAATTCCTAGTGCTTCGTCATCTTTTCATGCATTCAGTTATTTATAACACTCAATCAGTTCTAGCCGTAACATCACCAATGCTAATTGCGTGCTTCACACTGATCAAAAACGGATTATTTTTACAAACTCAATCCTAGCGTGAGCCGCGCTAAGTTACTGGCAATCGTTTAACAGCTGACAGATGTTCGCACCGATGCGCAAACCATTGAAATGGACCAGATCGGGTTGCAGTTTGGGATCATTAGGTTAATATTTCACAGTAAATGCTCGCCAAGATCTAATGTCAAGCAAGCATAGCTGAATTTTCTGAATTTCTCAAAAAAGGAGCTGAGGCAGTACAAAGAGGAGCTCTCGAGGTACAGAGGTGGCGCATCGCGAAGTGCGCGGACCGTGGCTGCGACGCCCTCTGGAGGATCGGACAGCCCCTGTGGGTCCAAATCTACGGCAGGAGTACCCACAAGGTTCTAAAACGCGGCGCTGGACAGCAGGCGCTGTTTCTGGCCAAATGGCACATCATTGGCCTTGCTGCCTATCACTGCAAGCCGCTAGATGTTGCGATGGTGTTTGGCACAGCCCCAGTAGAACATGAGAAATTTTTATGTATCGGACATATATTATACCACTGTAACTTCTTACATCGCGTACGCGGTCTTCAGCGACACCCGGCTCCCTGGTTGAACAACCGCAGTTGAAGCATTGAGATAAGTTGTCATCATTATAGGTGACAAGTTATATATGGCATATAGCATATATGCTAAGTTTATTGTTATTACGGCGTTTAAAATTTTCGCCTTTATTGGACTGATGGCAAACTTGCTGAGTTTTGGATCTCTATACCATCGAGATGGCGAAAATGTGTGCAGAAGTTTTCGCCGGAAAGGGCGAGATTTCTGAAAACACCTGCATAATATTTTTGCGTCCCAAATTTTTACACATTTCCGCCCCTAAATATTTTCGTCTGACGACAGTTTTCAACCATTTCACAGAAATGTGTCCCCCACCGGTGAGCTAGCTGTCGATGGGCTACAGAATGAGCGGCAGAAGATCGCCACTGCTAGAGGCGTCCATTTCTCAAAAACTCCCTCCACAAGAGAAGGTAGGCCACGTGCGGGCATTGCTGCGACACTTGCGGCAATGCCTTATAATTACTTTAAAAGGCATGTTCCTTTTCAATAATAAGTTTGATGGCCTTGATCAATATTGTTTGCACTGAAATGTTATAATGATGGTAAATGGGTTTGTGCCAATAAGGTATATTGAAGATGCAAAACGGCACCGACTATTTGCCAGACGGGGTGGCAAACTCTCGGATCTTCAAACACTGTGGTGTTAAATGGTGGCCATTATCTGCATCTACGCATTTATTTTGCAGTTTCCAAATACATTTGAGCTGTCCCATTCCCTGAAGCCATTGCAAGACAGACTGCCAAAACAAAGAAATCGGGGTTGCAAATCGAACAGGAGCTCTGGAAAGCGCATATCGGCAAAGTGCTAGTGAAAATTTACAGCCCAAACTCGATTACTAATAGCCGTTTACCCCTTTGTTCCAGCAGTTCGAAGCGTCCGCGAGAGTCGAAGGTTCTCGAAGCTGGCCTCAGGCATTGGTGGCATGTCACCTAACGAGAGTCGCCGAGCCGGGAAGTCGTCAAAGATCTGGGGAAGCATCTCCAGCGATTCACAGCTGCATCGGTCAGAGTCACAGGCCAGTGAAGACATGGGTGCTGACATATCAAGTGAGACAAGCCGGAGGTGGATTCTGGCCCCTTCCTAATCCACTCACTACGGTGATGCACATTAGTGCGAAATTTGCATGATGAATTTTTGTGCAATACCGCGCTTCAACGGCCTTCATAGAACTTGCGTATTCTTCTGCAAAGTTTCATTCTTGAATCAACCGTACGTTTCCCAACTGGAATTGGAACTGACTAAGTAATGCACAGAGTTGTGTCATTCACAGTCCGTGCTGAGCTAATGTTTACGATATTCAGAAAATGGTGCATTCACCGACGTGCCGCAAGCTGGTAAGCAGTACAGAATTTCGGTTCAGCGACTTGCGCGGCCAATCCATGAGCTAGTTCATGAGCTATTCGTGAGATACTTCGTTTCCATCGCCCAAATGAGACTGTGGAAATATCTAATGCCTCACAAGGGTTCTTTGACTCCTTAAAGGTTTTGCTCTGGCCGCGCCGTCATGGATTCTGGAATCAAAGAGCGGCGACGAAGGTGGCGCGACGACTGAGGCTTCCGCCTACTCCGACGACTGACAGTCGATTGATGTCCGAGTAAATCACCCAGGCTATTTGACATGAGGATTTAACAACGGCTAAATCCTTGTGGCCACAAGGTCGCGGGGTACACTTCGCAGAAGCGGGCGCATCCTTCAATAGCAAGAAAAGGACCGAACAACACTTTAGCGAACACACACAAAACATATTTCATCAAAGTTTTGCACGCTAAGAACACAAAAATAATCCAAACCCGTAAACTTTGTACACGTTTGAACACGTGTTATTTGGCATTTTTTTCCTAGTGCTTTGATTGAAGTCAACGAACAGAGAAGTCGATGCTGGGCGTCTTCAAGGCGACGAAGGGGCTACTCTCATCGCCTCGCGTTTCCCAGTGGTGTTCCGCAGTTTCTGCGGTCTGATGTTTTGCACTGTTGCAGTGCAGTACTGCTGTGCCTCGCGATGTCTCGTGGTCCCTTGAAGCGACCAATGTGTGACCCAAGCATCACACGAGCACGGTCTTCTCTCAGTTTTTTTCAGGACTTTCCCTAGACTACGTTAGCCTCCAAAGAGTACTAGTGACGCATTTCAGACTTTAAACTCACATAGATTACGCATGAGCACTTATTAATTTTCCCACAGGGAGAACTGGCCAATGGACAGCGACATGCAGCTCACACAACATACCAAGGACAGTTTGCTGTAAATGAACTGTGTCTTGGTTTTAGTGTCGCTGGTACACCCTTTTAGGCTGTGTTCAGGACTACTAAACGTGAGGAACGTAGTTTGTGGTACACAAACGGCAGCCAGATAATGTCACCTGGAGTCTCGTGAACGGGAAATTCTGCTGCCGTTGGCGGGAACGCATTCAACGCAATTGTCCTGCATTTCTTAATGTTATTGAAAGGCTGCGGCCAAGGCTGCCCATACTGCAAACGCTATGCACTACTGCCAACCGTGAGCAGTTTGCAGCAGTAGGTGTATATAGCAATCTAACCATGCGATTCGTCAATTGAAAATATTGCGTTGTTTTACTAATGGTAAGGGAGCTCATCTAACATCAATGACCAAAGCGCAAACTGCAATAGCAAAAAAGGACCAAATAACCATTTTCGCGAACACATATGTATGCATTTCATCAGTGTTCAGCGTGCTGAAAACACTGAAACAACCCAAAACCGTAGACTTTGTACACGTCTGTTCACGACTTATTTTGCCCCTTTTCTCCAGTGCTCATCATGCTGAGGGTCCCATAATTCCCATCGCGCGACACCATTCATTGCTCTTGATGTAAACGAGTTGATCTGTCGATGAACCTCCGGTCCAAAACTTTTGGTCGGCACAATCCAGGCATCCTGAAATAGGTCGCCTGCAGGAGTAAATGGGAAACGGGCAAAGTTAGCACGCATGAACGATAACCATCGCCAGCGATACTCATTGGACTGCTTCACACGTTCTGCCAAATCCAATCCACGGATATCGCTGATCAGCCATTCTATCACGAGAAATTGCCACTGCAGGTGTACATGGCTAACATGGCCTGTTGCAAACAGCGGTGCAGCAGCGACCCAAGCGGCGTAGACTTGCCGCCAAATTGCCGGTCACTGTCAACGCATTTCCGGCGACATACAATTTGCAGGTTTCGATGATTCCTTGCCAGCCATTCAGTTCGGAAAACTTGCGACAAGGGCAGGAACAGTTATAATTTTAACAGTTTGACTGTTACAGTACCACAGTCATACTGGTGCTTAGGATTCTTGGCATGGGAGGGCGCGCCTCGACGAAAAATTTGTCACAGAATTGCAGGTGCCACCTTTCTGTAGGTCGGATGCCACTGGTGGAGAATTCCCCCTTCTGCGCCATGTCTGATTGTATCCAAAAATTGTCGAATTGCTGAAAATCATGTGCAAATTATTAATACACCCTTGAGCCTCTGCGATTTGCGGCAACGATGACCAATGTTTGTCTCACGCACAAGGAAGCGCCCTTCAGGGGCGAGTGGTGCCGACCCCTGAACCGAGACTGTGGGCTGGAGGCGCCACGGCAACGGTTTACCGCCGAGCAACGGGGCAACAGATGTTCTGCCCCTTATATTCAGTCCGTTCATCAAGGTCCTAAATGCAGTTCCTAGCGCTTCATCACCTCCAAGCGCCCACCCGTTGATAATACTCAGTTCCAGTTACGACAGCATCACCAAGGGTGTCAGTGCTCAGTACTTAGCAGTGCCAACCCGCCCCAGTTTGCGGCGGACGAGCCTACGACAGTTCACAACCAACATGCTTCCACCCATCGCCACGCGGACATTGCCCGGCGATCCTGGGCCATGATTCGCCCACCACACCGCCAGGCGCGCGTCCACGCTCCCCAAAACTCCCCACAACCCCCCACACAGGCCGTCGATTTCCAGGAGTCCGCCCCCCCCCCTCCTGTCACCCCTGCCGCCCTCCCCTCCCCTTCTCCCCGGCCTCATGACGCCCAAGGCGCCAGCCTCCAAAGAGGCCGCCCCGCCCTTGGCGCCAAAGGCGCCGAGGCTGCCATCTGCGCTGAATCGGCTTTGGGCGATCCCATGCCGGCGTCGCGAGACTCGCCTCGCGGCGATCGCGGCACCCCCGGATGCCGACCTCGCCGCCGCGGCGCCGATCGCTCCCAAGCTGGAGATCGACGCGCGGGGGGCGGAGCGGGTGGCCTGGCGGGAATCCGGATGGAATTACTGGGATTGGGATGGCAAGCGCGTGCATTACATCTCCGCGGGAGACAAGGGGAGTCCCGTCGTGCTGATCCACGGCTTCGGCGCCTCGGCGTACCACTACCGGTACAACATACCGGAGCTGGCCAAGCGGCACCGGGTGTTCGCGGTGGACCTGTTGGGCTTTGGGCTTAGCGAGAAAGTGGTCACGGACTACTCCGGCGCCCGGCTGTGGACGGATGAGATCGCGGCGTTTTTGCGGGAATTTGTCGGCGAGCCGGCTGTGCTGGTGGGCAACTCGCTGGGCGGCTACGTGGCCTTCGCGGCGGCCGCGCGCCACCCGGAGCTGGTGCGCGGAGTGGTGGGGATCAATGCTGCTGGCTTCTTCGAGGATGCGGAAAATTCTAAGGTAGAGAACAAGGCCGGGCAGTCGCGCGCTCTCCGCACACACGGCCCTGTGATTACCCCGGTGGCGTGGCGTCTGTCATCGGGCAGTGTGTTTGCGTGTGAGCAGTCGCGTTACTTGTTGGCCGCTTCCTTGGGCCAATTTGCCCATCAGCGCAAGCGCTGCTCGCCTAGTGTTCATGTCATTGGTAGCCACTTTGCTTGCGCCAGTGTGCCCGTGAGCAGGCGCCATGAGCGCTGCTCTCCTGGTATTCATGTCATTTACAGCCACGTTACTTGCTGCTAAGGTGGAGAACAACAAGGTTGGAGGGTGGATTGGAGAAGTGAGGGACTACCTGGCGGATGCATTCAGGAAGGGCGCGCTGACGTTCGCGTTCTACAGGGCCAAGCGGCCGGGGCGGATCCGGCAGGTGCTGGAGACGGTGTACCTGTCGAAGGCCAACCTGGACGAGGACCTGGTGCGGTCGATCGCGCTGCCCGCGGAGGACCCTGCCGCGGCTGAGGTGTTCGCACGCGTGGTGAACACGACGGCGTTCCAGGAGCGGGTGTCGCTGGACTCGCTGTTCGCGCAAATGGACACGCCCATGCTGCTGCTGTGGGGAGACAAAGGTGGGCGCAATCCGTGTTGGCATTGAAATTTGATGTTGTGTATGGAATCGGCAAGAAAAGACACGCCAGCGGCAGCCCAGGGCCCTGAAATGTATGCTCCATTTTGGATTCGGGAAAAGAAAACCCCTGCGGGCAGTTTGCTCTAGCAAGACATTTCTCTGCAAAGGGCGGCTCATCCAGAGATCACTGGCGTGTTAGAGTACGGTGTCTGGTGATGCCATTAATGTCCAAAGCTGAACTCGAAAGCAGTGAGAGAATGCGAGTAGAGAGAAAGGCCATTTGATGACCTGTGTGCCAAATTTGATAAGCGCCGCCATCGCAACCTGCAAGGCGGTGGTTCTGCAGCTGTATGGGCCACGACGAGTTTGTTTTCCGAACGTAAAGTATGTCAATCCATGCAATTGTTGCCATCTCTTGAACAGGCCCTGGGTTGTGTTCTCAAGTGCGTTTCTGTGCAGAAGTTCAAGTCGTGGGGATTGCTTCTGTGAAGGGTGTGTTGAGTTAGGACGGGCCTTGAAAGCCTCACCCATCCTCACCTGAGTGAATGAACTTTTCAAATAAGTCCCCAGAGCATCTTGCCCTCAGTCCAGAGTGGCATGGAATGCCTGCTTGTGGACTGGGCTGAAACTGGTGCCTATCTGGGGCCTAGATGGCCTTCCATTGAGTACAGGAAGGTGGAGGGGAGATGGCCAAAAGGAGATGGCTTTTGGAGCCCTCTCTCTGGTATTGTTTTGTGGGACTAGCATCCAACACTGACACTATGTTGTGTGGCTCTTGATGGCGCATTAGCAGTCACAACCATCACATTATCACAACCGTCATACTTGGGATCCCAGTTTCCCATACTTTGTGGTCATATTGGGTGCCTTGGCAGTTGCTCATTGAATTTTCCGTGCACAGACCCTTGGATGACGCCCGCCAAGGCAGACAAGATGCTGCAATTGTATCCCAGAGGGATCAAGATCGGTGTCGATGCCGGCCATTGTCCCCATGACGAAGCCCCGGAGGCTGTGAACGAGGCGCTCATCGGATGGCTGAATAAAGTTGACCGGCTGTGAGCCACACCAATCTGAGATCTTCGCTTGGCGTCGCAGATTTCTATTCAGCGGTGAAAGGTGGGATGAGTCGTGGTCGGCCAGACCGAGTCCGTGGCTTATTTTGGGGTGCGATGATGCGTGTGAAGGCACCATTGTCGGAATCAATCGGGGATTCTTTATTTGTACAAAGGATGCGCGCTTGTATGTATGGATTTGGTATAAGGGTTTCGGTACAAAGCAGGCTGGTTGGACCTGCCGAATGGAGTGTCTTTTGCTTTGTACCTATTGGTTGGCGTCCTGTTTCCTGATTGGCCAGCTCCAGTAGAAGACGGTTCATTTTTGTAAAGAGTTGTTTGAGGCGCCTTAACGCTTTTCACACCCGAATCGTCGTGTGACGGTTCACAACTAACACCTCAAAGCTCCATTATTACATTCGCTGCTGCCCACGCTCATGCAGCATTGCCCATCAGGGCAGCTAAAGTCTGCACACGCGTTCCTTGGCATTCTCTTCGGTTGCTTGGCAGACCAATACACCAACCCCACCAATTTCAACCCCACCAATTTCAACCCCAAACCCACCAATTTCAAACCCACCAATTTCAAATCCACCAATTTCAACCCCACCACTTTCAACCCCACCAATTTTTCAAATCCACCAATTTCAACCCCACCACTTTCAAACCCACCAATTTCAAACCCACCAATTTTTCAAATCCACCAATTTCAACCCCACCACTTTCAAACCCACCAATTTCAAACCCTTGTGATTGGACGGGGGAGGCACCTGGACGCTGAACGTGTGATGTAATACTTTGGTATCAAAGAAAGAAAAAGAAAATCAGCCCCATGCCCAGCACGAACCCAAATTCCTAAAACCGCAAAATTTCCACCTACAAATTCGGTGCTCGAAAGCACCCAGTCCCCACCCGATCAACAGTCGCCCCCCATCCCGTCTACGTATTCGCCGAATCGGCTTCGCCCCCAGCGGCGACGCCTTCCAGGAAAGCCCTCACGCGTGGAACCCCCTCCCAGTCCGCGCCGGGTACGGAGTGCCCGTTGCGGTGCATCATGACGACGGGGTCCTTCAGCAGCTTCGCGGATGGCAGCGACCAGCTCCTACACCGGCCGAAGCACATCAGCTCTTCAGTTCAATGACACAAACAGACGAACACTGCCTGTTTCAGTTCCTGATCCACCAGGGGACCCTGAAGCGCCGACCTTCTCTTCTGTAGATTGAGCAATCATTGAGGTTCGGACAACTTTTTAGGCTATGCATCGCCTCGCACAATCGCATGCTCTTGTAGGTGGCACAAGGCCCGCATACCACTTCGCAATACATTTCTTGGAAGACAAAAACGCCGACGTCAACAAACTATTTCGGCTCTTGCTACTTTGTCTTCGCTATGTTGGAAAATGACACCAAGGGGGTCCTCTGTGACAAAGGGACCCCCTGTACATTAGACTTGTTGCCAGACAGGCGCCAGACCGGCACCAGACCGGCGTCAAACCGGCGCCAAGCCGGCGCCAAGCCGGCGCCGTACCGACGCCGGTCTGGCGCCAGGCCGCACCGCGGTCCTACTAGGGGCGACGCCTCTGGGAGGGCGCCGCGGCGATCGGGGTGTGAAGGGAAGTCGCGGCTATCGGAGCAACAGGGAAGACCAAGCAGCGATCTGTGGTGCTGGCGAGATCAGATGGCGGTCGGAGCTCCGGGAGGGAGTCGTGGAGATCGGAGCCGCGGCAGAGAGCACCCGGCAATGTACTGCCTTGTGATCTCAAAATAACATGCAGCCATTTCGCTCCATGAATGCAGATCCAATCCCAGTCAATTTTATTTCTCGAGCACATGCCCAGAAACTCAGTAATCACCCCTTGTGTCATGCAGGTGAGCATGCCTGTTTTTGGAAAGCCCATAATGAACTAAACGTCAAGAGAAGCTTACGACTTTGGAAGAGCGAAGTCTTTAGGCTTACTAGCCAATTCTTTAAGGTTCGCACCAGAAGTCATTCTTTAATGACTTTTGAAGCAGCAGATTGCTCATAATTGCTCAGATTGCTCATGATTCATGTATTTTTATGGAGACCAGTTGCATTTGAATGATACACGAAGGGCAGGGGCGGTCGTCTAAACGACATCGTGAAGACCCCACAAACCCCCACAACTCCGCCAGAAGGGAAATTGACGTAAGGGGGCCCTCTGCAGGGGTGCATATGATTAAAGGGGGTCCTCTGCCCAAGTAGGACCGGGTTGAAGACTAGCGCAGAGGACCATCTTTTGTCACAGAGGACACCCTTTTGTCATTTCCCCTTACTATTTTTATCTACTACTTTCCATCTTTTTCAACAGACGTCCGGGGCAGACACCCCAACCTCTCCGCCGACCGCCGAGACCCCACTCACTTGAACGGGTCCTGCTCCCCGACGATGACCATCGCCGGGCAGTCAATGAGCCCCTCGTAGGCCGCCGCGTGCCGCGGATCCCTGGACTGGAACGGCGAGAACAGCAAGCAGAATTTGATTCCCGGCAGGCCGCCCAGCGCCAGGCCCCTCCTCTGCAGGCCCGCCAGCACCAGCGACACGATCGCCCCCTGCGAGAAGCCCACCAGCCCGTCGAACGGGCCGCGTTCCCTAATGTATGCCGCCAGGTAGTCCAGGGATTCCTCCCACCCCATGTACGTGTGCGTGCCGTCCTCCGCCTTGTGGTCGTCCCACCATTCGAAATACGGCCCTTGGAAATTTGCCGCCACGTCCGGCTGCGGCGGGCCAGTGGCTGTGTGGGGCGCGTCGATGCAGTCGATCTCGAGCAAATCGTCCAGCGCCGCTGCCAGGCCCTTGCGCTGAAGCTGCTGGGCCAGGATGGCGCCGCTGGTGCGCCAGCCGTGCAGGCCCAGGGCCCTGAGCTTGCCGTGCGGCATGGCGGAGAGTTGTGGCTTGGGCGCCTGCGGGCGGCTTTTGTACTGGGGGGGCATCCGGCGGTGTCCCGCCTGCTGCGAGGGAGCGGGGAGGGGGTGTCCAGGGATGCCGATGGGGTTAGCAAGGGATGCCGGCAGCATGTTGTGGGCGGTGGTCAAGGTGCGGCGAACTGGAGCGGAAGTACTGGTGCGCTGGGGGACGGGGGGATGTTCGGTACGCGGGGATCACACCTGTGACATTGGGTAGTAATGGGTAGACGTTGGGTAGTAATGGGTAGTCGTTGCGGCTGTCGGGGTGCGACTTGGGATGCCCTTTCGGTTGTCAGTCGGGGGCGTGGGGGCGCCGTGTTGGTCACAAAACGCGCTCGTAGGCACGCGGGGCACGTGGCCATTGGGGGCGCGGCGGGATCAGGTCGGGTTGAGCTGCTCCGCGGCTTGGGGCGACTAATGTGCATTGAGAGAAAAGCGCCCACATCGCGCCAGCATGGCGTTCATGATCCTTGTTGGTTTCGAAATGTAGCACAGAAGAAAATCGAGACAGAAAACTGACAACCAGGCTTGTTATTTACGTTTACGTTTTTACGTTTTACGTTTACAGTTTTATGCGTAAAGACCGTAAATTTGCAAAAGAAGCTATTTTTACAGCTGCTTTTACGTTTTTACGGCTCGTTGTAACAACCAGGTTACATGGTGGAAGTTGCGTACAGTGACCAGTACTCCGCCCTCGTGAGCGCCAGGAACACAGCGTCCACTTCCCACTCGGCAAGGGCCACGATGGAGTGGAACAAAATTCGTTTTCTGCCCATTCCAGTGCGCCTGGATGCCGTTCCCCGGAGTCCCGAACGCTGTATGTACTGTCCATATGTACTCGGGGCTGTTTTTACGTTTTATTTGGGTATTTTTACACATTTCTACGTGTAAATATGTAAAACTATTTTTATGCGTAAACGTAAATACGATCTGTGTTTACGGTGTAAATAACAAGCCTGCTGACAAACCTCACGACATGTGAACACAAATCGTGTCTAAGCTAGCATGACGATCGTTGCCACGAAGCCCATATTTCTGGCCAGAAATATGGGATCATGATGGAAGCATCATGAATTCTCAAAAGCAGAAAAGAATGGTCCCCTGCACACAAGGTGATCCATCGTCTCCCTCGCACAACGCCGCACACGATGACATCTTCTCTTCGTCGCAAACTCATCTCTCAGGTTGAGAAGCCTGCAATCACCACCACACAAATTTTGCGGCACAATCGGCAGCCACTGTCATGATCTTCATGTTATCGCCATCCAACACAGCTGATCCAGTTCGATTCGGAGCCGCAGTCCTGACTTTCTGTCTCGCACAATCAACAAGGGCATTGCCACCCAGCAGAGAAGGGCAGTCCCCAACGCGGTCACACATGCTATGGCTGGACGAGTGACACTTGCAACGGCAGCCCATGACCACGATACTGATGATCTCAGCTTAACGCTGCGCGCACAACACCGGCGTCTGATTCGACACACCATATTCACTACCACAATTTTGAAACCGACGCTTGCTCCCATGAGCTTAGCGACGCGTGGTCCGACCCACCCCTAACGCACATAAGATAACTCACGAAGAGATCCCTTGGAGCATATTCAAGGCCCACTCCTGTGCGCACCAGATCGCCCCATTGCATTCCCGGCAGCCATTAGCAGCCTCTCAAGAGCAATGATACGCGTTATTACTTATGCCGACAGGTCCAACCCCAGGTGATGTTCGCGCCACCAGCAGGCTGTAAGTGGCCCTTCGTGTCGATGACATGGCTGCTTGCCTTGAACCAGTGAGGCTGCAAGTCTCCGACCATCCACCTGCAATCGAAGGGGATCATCATACCTCCAAACTTCTGCTTCGCCGCTGCCCGCTTTGTTATTTTTTCATTTTTCTTTTCAATTCACCAAGCCGTTTGAACCATCCATGCAGTTGTCTACATAATTGGAAATGTCCCCATGAATCATCTAGAAGTGGCTTTTCCTGACATGCATTTGGCACACTTCCAATTGTACGACTGCGGGCCATCTCATCCGGTAGGCAATTTGCATATCAAAGTCTTGTCATTTTTTTCCAGCACCAAGCCGTTTGAGCAATCGATGCAGTTGTCTGCGTACATCGAAATGTCCAATGTATCATCCAGAAGTGCGGCGCCTTTTCCTGACATGCATTC